GGGGGGGGGGGGCAGAAAGGAGGACACAAACAAAGGAGCGGAGTCCATGACAAGCATCATGAACAACGACGAAGCCACCCACGCACCCGGTCAGCGTTTGGGACATGCGCTCAGGCAGGAAGATGATGTTGCTTTGGGCACTCTCGAAGCGCCAATCGGTGGCATTCCGGGCCAATGACAGGACCTCCACCATGGCCTTCATCCAGCCACTTTGATGAACGAGCTCGGCACCGGCCGCTGTGGCGCCGAGTCGCGCGAGAAACACTCGCGAGCTGTGCACAACGACCGACGCCGCCGGGGCCAGGGGGATCGGCGCGCTGGCGGCACACATCTCGGCTGTGCAGGCCCCCAGTGGGCTACGTGAGCAATTGGAATTCGAGCAGAACCAGGCCCCATGGCAGCCGGTCGGATTGTGGCCATTTGCCGGGGCGGAGCCACTGCCGGTGGCTCCATCGCGCGAAGTGCACGCCTCGGCCCCGCCGAGATCCGTGTCGGTGGAGCGCGACACCGACAGTCGCCGGGGGGGATTCCCCCAGGTCACTCGGGAACCGGTACTGGCATCAGGTGGCGCGGCCGATGTCCGATGTCCGGCGCTTGAGGCCAGCGGATCCGATGGTCCCGATCCGAAGGCCCGAGCGACGGGCTTGACCGCCACCCCCGGGGCCAATGGATGCGGATGAACTGTGGTGCTGCGCATGAGGCTGGCCTGAACCAAAACACAGTTGCAGGAGGTCTGTGTGAAGTTGGATGGCGGAGATCCACCGCGCGAGTCGGCCGCTGACGTGGCATTCGGCGAGCGTGATGCCGAGGACCTGGAAGACGAGGAGAAGGACGATGAGGAGGGGCTCATCATCGGGAAGGGAACGGCTCCAGCCGGCCGGGGGATGGACACAGCATCGCTCGACGAGGGGTAGGAATTCCGACCGCCGATGCGTCCGCCGATGCCTGGAACAACCACCGGCGGGCCACCGGCACCTGGAGCTGTCGATCCGGTTCCCGTGTCGTACTGTTGGCTGAGGCGCGATCCAGCACCCGGGCCGGTGGGCAAACGCGGCGTGTCCAGGCCACCCAGTGGGCCGTGGTAGTTGCGCGGGATTTCCGAGAAGATATGATTCCAGGGGCTGAGGAAGTGCAAGATCTGCTTGACCATGGAACGGAGGGACGCATCCCCCTCGAGGCTTTCGGCTGTGATCAGAGAACTCTGCATGAGGCCGGCCGGCCGGGGGAGGCGGGGGGGGGGGGGGGGGGGGGGGGGGGGGAGCCAGAAAAATGTAAAAGGGGGGGGGGGGGACAAAAGGGGGGGGAGATGTGAGGGGGAGGAAAGCGAGCCCCCAAAAGACGAGAGGGTGGGCCCCAGGGGGCAAAAGAGCAGGCACCTTGAAGATTTCCCCAATCAATACCCAGTCCCACTTGGACCAGGGGGTATCCTTGCTTACGCGAGTGGCCGCAACAAAGTGCGCCAAATGCCCCTTCAGCTGGGCCTCTGGATCGCCATGGGACGAGAGTCGACAGCCGCTGGCACGATCGCGAAGAAGAGGTCGCTCACCTGGCAGGTGGGAGTGTCCATGTAGAGAAGGGGCGCATTGGGCCAGGGGCGCGAGCAGCGGGAAGGGCGTACACATGTGAGAGGCGGGAAAGGCAGGGACCTCACACGGAGCCGAAACCACGGGGGAGGGGCGAAGGAGAAAAAGAAAACATTGAGAAAGGAGAGGGGGAAGTGGGCAAGTACCGGCCATAAATGCAGTCGAAGCGGCCACAGCTGAGGCGGCAGCCGCCGTGCTGCTGGCAACTGACATGCACGGGGCCCCGGCTCGACAGAGAGCACACACCACGCCATCGGTGGCTGAAAAGGGACAACCACCGAAGGGAGCGCTACTGAGTGGATGGAAGCTGCCCAGAGGGGCCAGCGTCGGAACTGGCCCGACCCCAGTGACGCCGGTCGGTGGGGAGGCCCCGCCGAGGGTGGGATTGAGCAGCACCGGTGACGGAGCCCCCGGCACGCTCCCATGACCGGGGATGCCCACTGCACCGGGCACGCCACCGGCACTGGTCACCCCGGTGGCACCGGGCAGCATCCCGGAATTCCCGACGGGACCCGCCCCGGTGCCAATCAGGTTGATGCCACTGGCACTGCCGGTACCGGCCCCAAGCCCGGGAGCCGAGAGGGAGGGCGCCCCGGTGCCAATCCCCGACCCGGCCCCAGGGCTGAAGGTGGGTGACCGCGGGACAGCTGCACCACTGGCCGAGGCATTGGGCCCTGTCGAGGGGGCGAGGGCCGCCGCCCCGGGGGCCAGGGTCACTGAGGACAGTGTGGCGACGCCGCCAGACAGGGCAGATACGGTCCCCCCGGCGGCGAGACCGGCGCCAGAGGAGGGCACCTGCTCGAAGACCGGATGCCGAACAAGCGCCTGGTGGGGGCCCAGCCGGCGGAGCAGGGGGTCCAGCCCGCAACGCGAAGATGCGGCAATGGCCACGGAGAAGGGAGTGGCCCGAGGCTGGCGCGATTGGCGGACCTGCCGGTGCCGTGCCAGTTGCGCGCAGGCCTCCAGCGCCACCGACCGCAGGTGCGGATGGTTATGCTGCGGAGCGAAGGCCGCAGTGCCACCGAGGCCTGGTACATCGGCGGCCAGGCCGAAGTCCATGCCCAGTGCCCCGACGTTGCCCGACCGCGGGGCAACAATCGCGGGCCCTGCCCCCGGTGCCTGAGAACCATTCGGCCAGGAGGCCTCAAAGCCCGACTCCACCAAGGGAGACGCGTGGGGCAGGGCGCTCATGGCCACCAGACGAGGCAGGGTGGAGATGGCCTCCGACACAGGACCGGGCAGGAGACTAATCGTGGGCGAGGGATATGGGACATTGTTAGACCAAGGGAGGGGGGGGGGGTGGCACAATGTTGAAGATAAATCCAAAAACGGGGAAGAAGAGTCTCCGAATGCAAAGGGTCGGAGCAGCAACAGAGCAGACAGGAGCAGAGGCGGAGACACACAGAAAAGGGGGAAGGGGGGGGGCATACTTTTCGGCCAGGCGAAGCACTTCGCCCAACAGCAGGGTCGCCTGGACGCGCAGAGAACGCTCCTCGATGTCTTCGGCACCGGCCGGGGCCAAAGCCGAAGTGGGGGCCCGACCGCGGGTCCCTGCCGGTGGAGCTGGCCCGGCTGAGGCCACTCCCCCGGCAAGTGACCCGGTCGAAGCCGGTGCCGCGGTAATAGCATCCACCAGGGCATCCACCAGGTCCGCCTCCAGCAGACTGGACAAAACTAGTGCACGATACGAGAGGGCCGGATCGACATGTTGTGCGGCGAGTGACGGCGGCACGGGGGCCTGTAGCGCGCGCATTTGGTGCACGCTCGGGCAGATGTGCAGAACTTCGGTCTGGTCACCACTCGGGGCAGTCGAGTCAGAGGCGGACAGACGTCCGGATGACCGGGGACCAGCACGGGCCGAAACCGGGAGAACTGGCTTCGGGGCCCGAGAGCAGGCCAGGCAGTGCGAGTCGGCGGACTGGCCGACACCGATGGCAATGTCCCCGGGCCAATGGGCAGCCGGCCACTCGGCACACCAGCCGCCACAATTCCCGGCATCCGCCACTGGGCAGCCACGATGGTCCGCCTGTTCGGGCAGCGGCCCCAGGGACGCCAGGGACTCCTCGAAGGAGGTCGACCATCGGGGACGGCGCAGGCGCAAAAGGGCGAAGAGGATGCCAATCAGCGCCTTGCGCAGGGAAAGGGTCGCCGAGTGGGGAGGAAGCCGCAATGCCGCGACCAGCGTGGCCAAATGGGTGCTCGGTGTGCCTGCACTCCCGACACCGATGGCGCCGGACTTGTCCAGACCGCTGCCAACACCAGTATCGCCAAGCCCCTGAGAGATGCCGGGTCCCGAATCGGGGAGTGGCAGCAAGTCCTCGGGTCGCAGGGGGGTGGTCACACGCGTTCCGGCGGAGAACATCAAGCCGACCCATGTGCGAAGAAGTGAAAGAATGGAGGTACACCTGTGGCAATCGTCAACAGGGGAACGGGGACCGAGAGAAGGAGAGGGAGGGAGAGAGAGAGAGAGAGGAAAAGGGAGAAAGGAAGACGAGGGGACGTACCCAAACTCAAGCCGTGCCTCAGGAGAGGGCGGACCAAGGGTTTGGCCGGCGGTCGTTGTTGGGGCATTCCGTCCGGTCGCCGGGCCAGGGGCGTTATTCCGCCCAGCGGCACGGTTACCCGCATGGCCGGCGGCTCCGGGCGGTGGGAACTCCCCAAGAGAGAAGAGAACATCGGCCGAGAGGCTGGAAAAGAGAGCGTCGACGCCCATGCTGAGGGGAAGAATCTGTTGGCCGTCAAGGTGACAGGGGGAGATCAGAGAAATCCAGCGTCAGCGCGGGGGGGAGGGAGGGAGCGGCGCCTCTCAGAGAGGGAGAGGGTCAAAGCGAGGAAAGGGGGCACGACACGGACCTTGCGAATTTCCGGGCGGTCGAGTGCAGATGTGAAGATGCCCAATACCGGGGAGCAGTAAGCGAGAGACTGGGACCCCAAGGAGTCCAGCAGCTTCGGGAGGGTAACGTAAGAGAAGAGTGTCAGTGTGGGAGGAGAGGTGGGGGGTGCAAACAAAGAGGCGGGACAGGCCACCCTCAAGCGAGTGTCGCCGAGAGAGAGAGAGAGAGAGAGAGAGGGAGGGAGGGAGGGAGGGAGAGAGAGGGAGAGAGGGAGGGAGATAGAGGGAGGGAGAGGGAGGGAGAGGGAGAGAGGGAGGGAGAGGGAGAGGGAGAGGGAGAGAGAGGGAGGGAGAGAGAGAAGGCGCGAGGGGGAGGAAAGGGGGACGGAGGCATGCGCACCAGTCGCGAACCACCACTGGCCAGCAGCGCAATCGGATTGGTAAGTAGCATCTCGAATATGGACGCCAGTGAGATGGACCGGAGCTGCTCATCGGTGGTGGACTCGGCCAGGGAGATGATGGTGGAAACCAGGCTCACGGGCACGGCGGGAACGTCGGCTGGGGAAGGACAGTGATATCGGGGAGGACCGAGGGGGAAAAAAGTGCAAGTCAGACATCTTGTCGGCAGGATGTGCTTCCGACACACGAGTGCGGATCGGCCGTGCAAAGGAGTGCGCACAGTTGACGGTGATCCAGGCACGAACAAGGCGAAGCGCCTGCTCGCGCTCCGAATCCGAGCGGGGAGTCTTGTGCAAAGACCTGCGGAAAGCACCATGTCAGAGAACATCATCCGTGGGAGGAACAAACTGTCGCGAACCACAGGCGGGTCCAGGGGACAGGGACGATGCGGGAGGCAAGGCGAGAGGGAAACCACCGACGGATGCAGAGGGAGAGGGAACACACCGAATCAGGGGGTATGCCAGGTGGTGGGCCGAAAGGAGCTGAGCCACATCGGCTGGGGCTGCTGCTGTGCGGACCTCGCGCGAGGCCCCGAGCCCGGTCTTGGCATCGGTCGACCGCACAGCATCGCCACTTGCGATCGAGGCCCCGGGCCGGAGGTCGCCGACTGCAGGCTGGCTGGCCGCGGCCCCCTGGCCGGCCGAGCCCGAGGACAGCAGCGTCGCCAGGAACAAGTGCCGGAGAAAGCGGTACACACAAGCTCGAGTACTGAGGCCAGCCAAGCCCCCACCCAGGGCCGGGCCATCGGCCCCGGGTGCCGAGCTTGCCGAAGGACCGGAGCTCGAGCCGCCAGAGGGGTTTCCCCCAGCGCCGGGGGGGCCGGCCGGGTCGGCCGGTCGACCTGGGCCGCCGGGACCAGCCCGCGGCCCGGGCACCGCACCAACGCCAGGACCACCGCCGGGGCCACCTCCCGGGCCACCGGCCACCGCCAGACGAGTGGACGTGGTTCGGCCGCGGAGATCCGTCCCCATGCGCCCACGCGACGGGGCCATTTTCAGGGGGCTGCCCGGGGCGCCCGGGGAGCCAGGCGCCATTTCGGACAGCTGTGGATCCTCGACATCGATCAAGAGAGCCCGCGCGCCGAGGATCAATGCGCGCAGCTCATGCACCGCCAGGAGAACCGGCCCTTGGGAGGCGCACTCGGCGCTGCTGGAGCAGGTGCATCGAGACCCGTGCGTGTCGGAGCTCACATCGACACGCCTGTGATGCTCATGCCAAGAAGGAGACCCGGCCCCGGCGAGCTTAAACACCTGGGCCAGCTGGTTGATGGCAGCCAGGCGGTGAATCAGGTCCGGGCGCAGAGCCACAGCCAGAGACTGGAGACCGGGTGTGGAAAGAGCAGCGCCCCGGTCTTGGGCCAGGGCACAGGCCACACAGTCAATTCCACCTCCTGGGGGGGAGCTGCATAGGTCCTGCGGATCCACCGGAAAGGCATCCTCCCCCTCGGTGTCCAACAACGAAGCCAGATGCCGCCAATGGGCCCGGCTCCGGACGAAGGGACAAGCTTCAGGTGAGAAGGAGGTTACCGGAGTGGAGGCCGCCGAGGCGGCTGGTGGGCTACTGCCACTCCGTCGCCGGCGAGCCGTCAGCGCCCCGGGTGGATGTGTCGGCCGCTGATCGCGCATCGCAGCCATGGGTCCCGCCGCCTTGAGACTGTCGATGTAGGACTGGAGGAGAACCTGGGCGTTGGCCTGTGCCGTGAGGTTCAGAGCCATGTGCCCCTGTATGGAGTGATCGGTCAGGGAGTTGCTGAAGAAGCGAGGCACCGGCGGCGAGGCGTCAGCATCTGACGAGCCCTCGCGCCGCCACTGCAGCCCGACAGGATCGCCCTCGCCGGGCGCCATGGGGGACAGATGGTCATCATGTTGCTTGGGCGAATAGATCTTCGGGCGGGGAAAAGATCGGCCGATGACAGGGGAGGCAGGCGGTCAGCATCGGACTGGGAGAGCGAGGGAAGAGGGCAACGAGAGATGGCGGGGGAGAGAGAGAGAGAGGGAGAAAGAGAGAGGGGGAGAGGGAAAGCGGGGAGACGGCACCGTGGTGATGTTGCCGAAGGCCGAGAACAGGGGATTCTGGGTGATACGATCGGAGATGGCGGTCGACAGGTCGGGATTGAGACAAATGTCATCGACCGGTGCGCGGTCTGTGGGGCCAGCGACGGTGGTGGCCGCGTCGGAACGAGCCGACGTCAGTGACGAGTCCGAAGAGGGGAGAGCCGGTGACGAATTGTTGGTCGCCGCGTTGGCAGCCTTGGAGGAGGAGAAGATCTGCGGCTGGGAAAAGCGCCGCCTCGCGGACATGGCGGCCAGAGGGGCGGGAAAGGGACGCCGCGACAGACAGACGACTTTGGCTGGCCGATACGAACAGGCAGGGCAGAAGGAGGCTCAGAGAGAGAGAGAGAGAGGGAGGGAGGGAGAGAGGGAGAGAGAGAGAGAGACAGACAGAGAAGGCGGGCACAATGGCTCTCTCACAAGGCACCCATCGATCAGCCAGTTGGGTAGGGGAGGTGCAACGGGCGAGGGGGAGGGGGCGCCCAGTCCGCTGCGGGCACAGCGCGGGGGCCGGGTGTCGCGGGGGAGAGGCCGGTATAAACGGGGGAGGGGCGGACCAGCGGACAGGCGAGCAGGGGGGCGGAGAGGGGGGGGGCGGGCAGAAAGGGGGAGAGGGGAGGGGGTGGGTGTGGCGAGCTGGAGGCCAGGACCCGGTGGACGCGGGGCCGAAAAGTTGTCGGGCCCCCCCCCCCCCCCCACCGCCCCCCCGCGGCGGGGGGGGGTTGGGAGCGGCGGGGGCCGCGAGAGAAAAGACGGCACACCACCCCCCCCCCCCCCCCTCCCCCTCCACCTACCCCGAAGAGCATGAATCAAGGGAAGGGAGGGGGGGGACAGACCGGAGCGGAGAAGAGATGTTGCTCGGGCTGGACACCTCCTTCGAGACGCGGGACAGACCGGAAGAGCCACTGGCAGCCGAAAGCACAGTGGTGGTACCCGGACAATGGGGGCCGCTTGAGAGTGTGTGCGGGGGATCCCTGGTAGCGGGTGCCGACGAGGGAGCGCTCAGACCGTCTTGCCTCGGCCTATTTCCCCCTTGCTAAATCTCCGCGGCCGGAACCAGGGGCTAGGGACGGGGGGGGGAGGGGGGGGGATCGCCAACACCACCCGCCCTTCCTCCGGCGAGGTGCTGCCAGTTCATGGCTCCCTGCCTGCCGGCGCATTTGAATTTGCCCCTAGCACTCCGCCCGGGCCGGTGCAACCCCAGTCCCCAGGACGGAGATCTTTGAGGCCACCGGCGAAGCGACGTAATTGTCCTCCATCTCCTCCCGACTGAATGTCCAGAGGAGAACAAGGAGAGAACCAGAGAATGAGAGAAAGAGCGGCTTGGAAGGGGCTGAGCGGAAAACAAGACGAGTGAAAGGGACGGTGAGAGAGAGAGAGAGAGAGAGAAGGAGAGGGGGGAATAGAGAGAAAGAGAGAGAGAGAAGGAGAGGGGGGAATTCTAACGTCAAAGGGCTGGTCACCCAGACGCCCAGGGTGAAGGGTCCGGCACGGCCGTTGTCGGTGTGAACACACAGGGCAAGAGTGCTCCATGTATCGTGCTCCGAGGAGACCCTCCTCCAAGGAAAGCGCAAGTGGAGGGGCCCAAGCCCTCTGGCGCATCACGGCCCTGGGGGAAGGAAGGGAGGTTCTGGCAGGACCAGGCCCAGGGGGGGGGGAGGAAACACACGCGTACGGCGCCCAGTTCTCTAACAGCCAGGGGCCGCACCTTTAACGCTGCCTCCCCGACCGGCCGCCGGCCCCGATCTCGTCCGCCCATCCACGGTGCCCCGAGGCCAATGCCGGGAAAATCGACCAAGAGGCATGAGACGCCCGCATGAACAGGATACGCCCACGACATTGAGCCCGAGGGGGAAGAACATGATGAAGCACCGTTCTCCAGAGGGGCCAGAATGGAGACCAAAAGAACAGGGTTGTACTGGAATTCGAGTCACGTCTGTGACTCTGCATGTGATATTTGGTTCTTCTGCATCAGATCTCCATCGTGCTAAGCATGCGCCGCAGGCAAGGGAGATAAATGCACAAAAAACGCGACCACAGCGGGCGCCATACAGAAGGACGCCCTGCTTCCTGTGGCGTCCATCCAAGCGACAACAACAACAACAACAACAACCGTGAACGCAGACACACATGCACATGGCAACATGAAATAACAGCACTGGTATGCCCAGACCCTCCTCTGTCCTCGGCCCACGGGAAAAGGGCACGGCGCGCGCTGTGCATCGACAAGGAAACCCTATACACCGACAATCTCATGCGAAAATACCCGTATCGGAGGCAGGAGAAGAGCGAGATTGGCAGAGGAGGGGGGCATTTTGTATGATTCGACAGAGTACATGAGACAATGAGGAAAGGGGGAGGGGGTGTGGCGCACACGCCATATGCGCGTACACACACGAGCGACGCACATATGGACGCGAGGGGATGTGAACACGCGGGGGGCGAGGAAGGAGATGTGGAGGGGGGAGGGAGGGAGGGAGGGAGGGGATTGTGATGGGGAAGGAGAGAGGGGGGGACAATGATGGCAATGGGAAATGCACACAAAAACCGAGGGAGGAGGAGATGGGAGAGTATTGGAGGGAGGGCGCGTGCGCGGGAAAAAAAAACACACGAACACATCGCGCCCATGTGTACAGACAAAACAACACACGAGAGAAAGCCCGAGCGAGGGGGCACAATGGGCGCTGCGCGCGTCGAAGTGTCGCGCGCACACGCACGCACACACACACACACACACACACACACATACACGTCTCCGCCGCACTTAGTAGTCCATCATCTCGCCGCCCTGCTGCATATCCATATCGGCGGTCTCGTTCTCGCCGACGGTGGCATCCTGGTACTGCTGGTACTCGGAGACCAGGTCGTTGATGTTGGCCTCGGCCTCGGAGAACTCGAGCTCGTCCATGCCCTCGCCGGTGTACCAGTAGAGGAAAGCCTTGCGACGGAACATGGAGCTGAACTGATCGGAGATGCGCTTGAAGAGCTCCTGGACGGAGGTGCTGTTGCCCAGGAAGGTGGCAGACATCTTGAGGCCCTTGGGGGGGACATCACAGACGGAGGTCTTGATGTTGTTGGGGATCCACTCGACGAAGTAGGAGCTGTTCTTGCGCTGGATGTTGTACATGTTCTCGTCAACCTCGCGCATGGACACGCGGCCGCGGAACATGGCAGTGACGGTGAGGTAACGGCCATGGCGCGGGTCGCAAGCGGCCATCATGTTCTTGGCATCGAACATCTGCTGGGTCAGCTCGGACACGGTGATCTGGCGGTACTGCGAGGTGTGGCGGCTGGTGAGCGGCGCGAAGCCGACCATGAAGAAGTGCAGACGCGGGAAGGGGATCATGTTGACGGCGAGCTTGCGCAGGTCGGCGTTCAACTGGCCCGGGAAGCGCAGAGAGGTGGTCACACCGGAGATGACATAGGACACCAGGTGGTTGAGGTCACCGTAGGAGGGGGTGTTGAGCTTGAGGGTGCGGAAGCAAATGTCATAGAGAGCCTCGTTGTCAATGCAGAAGGTCTCATCCGAGTACTCGATCAGCTGGTGCAGGGAGAGGGTGGCGTTGTAGGGCTCGACCACGGTGTCGGACACCTTGGGCGAGGGGACCACGGAGAAGGTGCAGACCATGCGGTCGTGGTACTCCTGGCGGATCTTGTGCACCAGCAGGGTGCCGAGACCGGAGCCGGTACCACCACCCAGGGAGTGGGTCAGCTGGAAGCCCTGGAGGGAGTCACAGTTCTCGGCCTCGCGGCGGATGACATCGAGCACGGAGTCCACCAGCTCGGAGCCCTCGGTGTAGTGGCCCTTGGCCCAGTTGTTGCCGGCGCCAGACTGACCGAAGATGTAGTTGTCCGGGCGGAAGAGCTTGCCGACCGGGGAAGCACGGATGGCATCCATGGTGCCGGGCTCCAGGTCGACGAGGACCGCGCGCGGGACATACTTCTTGCCGGCGGCCTCATTGTAGTAGACATCGATGCGCTCCAGCTGGACGGGGTCGTCACCGTAGTAAGAACCGTTCGGGTCGACGCAATGCTCGTCGGAGATGACCTCCCAGAACTTGGCACCAATCTGGTTACCGCACTGGCCGGTCTGGATGTGGATGATCTCGCGCATGGCTGTTGGGTGTCTAAAAGGGAGGGTGGTGACTGCGGAGGTGTGGCAGCAGGGCAGAGGAAGGTGCGCGCGCGGAGAGGGGGGAGGGGGCGGGGGGAGGGGCAGGGGGAGGAGGTGAAGGTGCGCGTGTATATATGTTGGGGGGAGGGCAGGGAGGGGGATGTGCCAGTAGCGGAGGGGGGGGGGGGGGAGTTAGCGTGCGCGTGTGAGGAGGCATAAAAGGGGGAGAAGCGAGGGTACTATTGGCCGAGGAAGCCACCGACGCCCCCTGCCGAAGGGGGAGGGGGGGGGGGGAGGCTGACAGGACCCATGCGTGCATGTGGGTATGCATGTGCGCAGCATGTCTTGGCGGCCATGTGTGGGGCTGGGCACGCTCGGGGAAGAGGAGGGGGGGGGGAGATGGCAAAGAGGGAACGCACATCGAGATTCACACTAGGGTCCAAGCACGGAGGAGGGCGAGGGGGGAGGGGGGGGGAGGGGAAGAGGAGGGGAGGAGGGGCACTGAACCAAGACACAGGGTGATTCGGTGGCGCCGAGGTGGGTGTCTCTTGGCGATGGGCAGGTGAATCCTAGGTTTTGAGGTGCAAGCCGCCGGGTTCGGCCGGGCCCGGGCCCGGCCGCCAACTGGGAGAGGGCGCCGGACGTGAGACATGAGCGCCCTCGAGGCGTGGTGTGCCCTTGTCGGCGTGAATGGGCGCCGGCTGTGGAGGCCGGTAGTTCGCGGGAGCTAGACAACAAGGGTGTTGTCGTCCACGCCGGAAAAGCGGGCGGAGGGGGACCAGCGCGCCTCGGCCCCCGCCCCCGCCCCCCCGCCCCCCCCCCCTGCTGGGCCCCCCCCCCCCGCCCGCCCGCCCAGGTGCCTGGGCTGGACACTGGCCCGTGCCCAGGCCCCCGGGCTCTAACGTGGGTGTTGCCCGGGCGGAAATGCGCGCCAGACTCGCCTGACCGCTGGACACGCGCATGCCGGCTGCCACAGTGTGGCGCCCTGTTGGGTTCGGGCGGGAGTGGTGAGGAAAAAATAACAACCCGCCCTCGTCACCAGGAAGGCGGCTTTTTATCTCCGGCTCCCGGCCTACCCCCCTCCCCCGGGGACCGAAAGACCTGGCCGAGCTCGGGAGTCGGGAAAACCGTTACCGCGGGCCGAGGAACGGGAGGGGGTGCGGCGGGGGGCTGCCCCCAGGAAAGAGACCGAGAGAGGGGGAGAGGCAGGGACACGGGCAGGGACAGGGAGGACGGCAATTGAGTGAAAATGTGCACACCAGCAGCATGTGCACCCGGGTATCTGCCAACCAGGGCAGCCTTCGAAAGAGAGGAAGAGGGAGAAACAGAGAGAGAGAGAGAGAGAAGAAGAGAGAGAGAGAGAGAGAGAGAGCACCTCACGGCGGAGTTCAGCCTCGGCCCAAGAGGCAGCCTCCCGGGCCATCCCTCGTTGACCTGGACCGGG